GGCGGCGGCGGCGGCGACCACCATATCGAAAAACCGGGCCACGGCGGCGACGTCGTCCCACGCGCAAAAAATTACCTCCTCCCCGCGTCATATTATTCGCTTACCCCTTTCACCGTACGCCCCCGCACTCACGCACACGCGCTGTCGACGCACACGAGCTATACGTACGCATATATAGTAGGCGGCGCGGGCACGTGATTGTCCAGCCGCCGGTCCATCCCGTACGCAGGATCCACACCCCCGCGCTGTACGGGTTATTATGGATAGAAAGCGCGTGCCCCATTGTGAGCGGTTCGCATGCACACGCGAGTTGAAATTATAGACGGAGAGATGATAAAAAACGCAAAACACGCGGGGGCCACCCGCACTACGTATATGTATAATTATATTATAGAGGTATACGATGCGCGATAATGAAATATAATATGCGAATCCGACCTCCTATCGACTCTTCTGCTACTGCAGTCGGAGTGTTTTTTTTTAAATTCCTATTTTTGTCCCCGCGCGCTCGTAACCCGCGATTTTTTTTGTTATTTCATCTTTTACCCTTTTTTACTCTGTTTTACCGCGCGAAAGCGGGGTATACCTATATACGTACGATTCGTGAATATTTGTATATATACACACACACACACACACACACACACACACAGCATTAATATGCACGATATATGCATGATTCACCATAATATATATAATATATAGGTATCTAGATATACATATAACCTCCCTTCCTCCTGGAAAGCGCGGAGAGGTGGTTCAAAGTTGACGAAGGGGTATGCCACCGCCATTGCAATGCTATCGATTAACGTGATGTATATAATACATATAAAATATATTATATTATATATATACCTTGACACACCTCCCCCCTAAACATCACCACTGTGTGTGTACGTGACGCCGACTAGGTCGTTATATTAAACCGGCCACCCCGATGATATTGTATTTTCTTGTTATTACTCGGGGTATCGTAAAATCATATTTTTATCACGCACCGGCGCACTGTACTTGGTATTTCAAAATCTAAATGTGTTTATTAAGTGCGATAAACGAACTAGAAAATTGGCTTAGACTTGAGTAGGTTGTCGAGGCTAGAAGGACGGAGGGTTACATACTGGCAGGATTCTTCTGTCGACTGTTGTCTAAAACCACTAAGATTATTAATCGGAAATTATGCGAAGAGGGGTACCTACATGGTAGTTAGTAGTTACTATATGCGTTAGCATAAAAACCTAGTTGGACGCGGTAAGTGGCTATAGTATGGCATGAGGTTTGATATCAACACAATTCACAAATATAATAAATAATTACAATATAACGACCAGTGTTCGTAATGCAATTAAAAAATCCATAGTAATGATGTTTAAAAATGCAGGTTTAGTTGGGTTATTTACGAGACATTATCAGTGGCGTGATGAACGAGGTTTTATGATACCTAAGCACCATGGTGGACATTTTTTTGGTGGGTGGGGTAATTGGATACATTATTTTTTACTAATAACAGAGTACAAGTACAAGTACAGTATTAAATTATTTACAGTCACATAATAATTATATATATTATATTATATTATATTAAGGGGATATAAAAAGTGGATAGGTACTGAAATATATGTTGTGCGTCATGGTTCCTCTGTATGAAATAAATATATTATGTATTGTTCAAAGGCAGTGTATTGTATTTCCAACGATATATTCGTTAATCATTAATAAATCAATTTATGCAGACAACCTTTTTATTCGAAATAGTAAATAATATTATAATATAGAATAGGAATTTACTATTTGGTAGAGATAAATAATATACAAATAAAGTTGAAACAATTTTACTTCTATACTATACTATAATGATTAATAGCATTATGAATGGTTGAAATACAGTTGGTTAAAGGAAATTACTAAATTCACTATAATTTTAGAGTACCTACCTATAAATTAACAATAGTCAACCATATGGCATAATATAGTACTTTTCCTTCTTGAATTTATGGAACGAATTAAACAATAACAAATTATATCATCATTTACTCGATGACAATATCAATTTATTTTATATACTCATAAGTCATTAGTCATTACTCATTACCATTTTGGATCAAATTGTAATGGACTATGATCACCATTGTATGCAACTGTGCAAATTATTAATTGCATTTTCAGATCTTGAAATTATTATCACATTAAAATAAATACATTAAGTTAAAGCATTAAAATACAATAACTAAAAATAAGAAATGATTAGTATGGTAAATATTAATTACCGATTATTATAGTTTTGAGCAATAATAATCGTTAAAAACGAATCTATTGTATTGTGTATATAAATAGCACGCTACTGATTATAATATCTAGGTATATGATATGGTATGATATTTTATGAGTTCTCTAAACTTTGGTAGTTATACTTTAGAGTCTAAAGTATAATGCACATTAGATTCTGAGCGGAGCTATGAATGTATTGATTTTAAAATTTTTTTAAAATTTTTTTTTTAGTCCGTTCACACGATAAGTAGTTGAAATAATGCTTCAGTTTACAACTTAAGTATCTTGTTTGATGGGAAAGAAAATTTAGTTGGAGCATTGAGGTTAAAATTTTAAAATTCACAGTAATTTTCAAGAGCCGAGAAAAACAAAAAAAAAATAAGGATAACCGGGAATTTTTACGCAAAATCGGTTTTCGACAAAATCGATTTTGGTTTTTGGTGTAATTCTAAAACAAATTACCGTGGATACATGAAATTGTTTATATTCGCATTTTATATAGCATATTATAAAAGTCAAAACTTTAAATTATTAAATGTATTACCTGTGGATTTACTATTTAAAAAAATTGCTATTTTATGGGTTAGTAAAAACATAGATAATTGGATAACTAAAAATAATGGAAAAACAAAAAGGGAACACCTAGCATACGATGTTTAAGTGATATATTTAAAAAAATCTTTTGGTCAAAAATTCGTTGACTACCTGGGTCCTACTTATTTTAATTCCATGCCAAATATTATTAAGAAGAATATAATAAATAAACATAAAAATGTCAAAAAAAAAACTGTTAATGACTGGCTAATATTGTCAATGGGGTAGTTACATAATATTTTTACTCTATTTAAGTATTATTCTTTTGTTTGTATTTATACTATTTAATTACTATCTGTAAGTAATTTGTCGCTCTCTACCTTCAACACAAGCATTGCTTTTAGAAGGTAGATAATCTATAAGTTTTATTATGTACATTTTTATAATTATTATGTAATTTTATATTATGTAATACATGGATAATGTATATAAAAAAAAAATATATACACGATAAATACATTTTGATAATCTGCTACTAATAAATTCGAACTTCAAAGTATCTATAACAAATATTTTTCATATACCTACCTAGCCAAGTAGCCAAGATAATATTTTTACCCGAACCACCTATATAAAAATCAATAATATTTGTAAACTGGTAAAATGTATTTATTATATAACAGGCTTAAACAAAATAAAGAAAAAAAATAGTTAAAAACCAAAATACAGCCGAAAAAAAATAACGAACAATTCTTGAATCGTTTCTAAAAACGTGTATTGTTCGACATGCGGTACAAGGACGAATGCCAACAACAATATACCGATGATATTTGTTTAGAAATAAACGGCAAAAAAATCGAAGATGAAAATTAAAAAAAAAAAAAAACAATTTCTGAGAAGACCTGCCAAGAATAAAAATACACCCCGCACAATCGCGTAACAGCACGGGCGGACTACCTACGAAGCTATGGTAGGTACACCGCATTCCTTGAAAAGTCACCAAAAAACAAACAGGTCACCACCACCCCGGAAACAAGTACTATAAACGACAGGGATACACGAGGGCTTGGCGCGGCAGCGACTTGAAGCGTCCAGCGCACGCACGGTATCAAAAGCAGGGTTAAGTTAGGTATATTAATATAATGTACATTTAGTTTTCACGCACAACTTCGAAATAAACGTAAATAAGGGCCATTAAATGAGAACGGTCGGGCAGAAGACTATATAATTTTATATTTTTTACTGCCCACACTATTATAGTCGTGTGCATCATATCGCGTACACACGCAAACGTATATAATATATAATGTATGCATAAAAAAAAACTAAGAAAGTACAGCTGCAGCATTCCACAACGTTTCATATATTACCCGCGTGTTATACATTATATATTATACCCGTTTCGAGCGCGTCAATTACGGTCGCGTTTCGAAAACAACTTCCGGTCATTGACCACCGCCGAAACGCGTATACCGCGTGCGAGTACGGTCAGCGCGGTACGCACGGGGAAACAGGTTGCCGAGAATCCCGCGATTCAGTTATCCACGCGACGGAAATTTGCCGACACGCAATTTTTTTTATCTCGGACGGTTTGTGGGATGTATAGCGACCCAGAAGAGACTTGGTGGATGCTCTGAATTTTTAAGTACTCCACACCTGTCAGGCCGGTGTTGGTTGTAGGAGAAATGAAGTTAAGTCACGGCATTGAATTGTCCGGGCTCGCTAGTCGCTGGTTCTTACTACCCGTGTTTTGTGTGCACCCCAATTGCATATACAATTATTACCGAGGAGGAAAAAAACCGACGTGCCGCCGCCATGTTACGCGGGGCGACGAGAACCCTAGCTGCGAGTAAAAGCCTCATTCATTTGTTCATCACGAGCCACGCACACGCAGCGGCAGTCCCCCTCGTCGACTACTGTTGTTGCCGCCACCGGCAGGCCGCCATTGGTCTCGCCGCAATAGCGTCACGCGTGATAACCGCGAAGCGATCCCGCTGCGGCGGCGACGAAATTATTTAAAAAAATAAAACCGTATACTACTCGACATTCGAGGACGCGCGATTGCTTCTTAATACCTTATTACCTGTATAATATACAGCGATTTCCCTCGCAAAGCTCGCGCGAAGTTGCATAATATGCGAAAAAGGTATAATCAAAACTACAGTAGCAAAGGTTCAGAAGCTTATAATATAATAGTTTACCTTTGGACGGCCGGCTGTCTCGGTTGGAATTGAGAGCTCGGTTGGCCGAACGCGTAACCGTTGTAATCTTGAGTGTTACCCTGGTTGGCCTGCTGTTGACTCTGGTCCATGTCGTTCGGGGTCATAACTACGCAGTGCACCGGGTTCGAACTAAATACACATACAATGTTACACACAACGCAGCCAACAGTAAATTATCATAATATTTTATTACATGTTCAACTACAGTATATTATTATCATTTATCACACACAACCTGCAGTACTAGTCTGTATAGTGTATACCACGATATTATAATATTACAGTGCATTAGTCCACGTGTCGCAGCGGCAATCGTCGTCACCGCCTCTCATCTCATGTGAGTTTGTTCGAGATCTCAACGACCGAAGTCGTAACAAGAGATGTATTATTATCATAAACACGAGTTTGGGCCGGTACAATATACGTGTACCGCTGCAACCGTCTATAGTATAACCGTATAAGACAACCTATGATATCCTACGTATGTATCGCATCGTTCTGGAAGAGATCGATTGTCGATTTTTACGACTCTTCCGGGCCCGCCGACGGTATACTTGTTGGCTATGTAGACGTATCGTCGTAGGAGGATTTTACCGCGAGCGTACTCCACGTACTTATATCGATCCCCGTTCGAACGCGGCGACGACTAATATAAACGCCCGACCGCCCGCGCGCCTCGCCCTGCCGCCGACACATTACACGCGTACGATAAACTCGGCACGCCGCACACGCAGCCGGTCGTCGTCGTCGTCGCGCGTTTGCCCTTCTCCTCCGACACGACGCGTCCTCTACACGCACGCACACACGAGGAATGTGCGGCGACGGCTCTCCTCCGTTGTAGCCGGTTAGTGTGTGTGTGTGTGTGTGTGTGTGTGTGTGCACTGTGTGCATCGCGCATATTATAGTGCACGGCAAGAGGTGTACAAAATCGCATAGTATTATTATATTTACGCCATAGTGTCATCCAATAAGCACGAGAGAGAAACGAGAGCGTAAAAGTGAATAATATTTTTACCTTACACGAGAGCCATAATAATAACAATAATGATATAGTATCGCGCGGCAGGTACGACGACGAGTCAGGGGTACGTTTTTTTTTCTTCCCCCGACTTCACCTGCGAGCGAAGCGCGCCGTTCGCGAGGGGGTGGAGACGATCGGAATGTCTCGGCGGCGGTGAACGTCGTAAGCCACGTGTGGCAAATGTGACTTGTCGCGTGCGTAACGCGATATAAAACCGCCACCGAGGGTATGTACAATATTATCTAATATTATATCGAACGGGAGAAAAACGGACGACGACGACGACCCATAATATTTATTTTTGTTTTGCCAGTATCCTCCTATACTCCCAAAATATATGTTTAAAAAAAAACGTTCAAGTGCGATGAAGAAAGATATAATTCTATAGAAATCTAGTACCGGACGGTCGCAGTAGTGTATATCAAGTATGTACCACAGCGGCGGCGGAGTAAACGTTTTCGGAATCGATCAAAAGCGTTTACGCCGTCGACGCCAGCGAGCAAACAAAATATTAATAATAAAGACAAAAAAACTACGTACTGTTGGCCGAGCAATATTTATACACCAAGATAGAAACTTTACATACACACAATCGAATACGACGTCAATTAAACGGTAGCGCAAAATAAAAATAATTAATCAGCTTTGTTTTTACTTTTTATTTGGTGAAAATATACGTTTTTATTCCAACTACGGCAGCTACGGAGGTTTGCTGCTCGAAACACTGATTATCACAAAACGCACACAACGTCACTTAAATTAACAACAAAAAACCACTTATTTTCGTAATTTACTAATAGAAAAAAATAATATTTAATATGTAGTACAGATATTATAATATTATTATACAATTAAATTATTACTACACTACTATTATTGTTGTTATTTTTAAGTTACGTTACTATATTATCGGGTAGTGAACGAAAACCACTAAAACAACAGCTGACGGTACACAATAAATGTCAAAAATTTTGTTTCATTAAATAATTTATATTAATTATATTAAAATATAATAAATAAATGTACTTTTAATTTTATAATGTGATGGATTTTGGTCGGAGCGCACGGCGCAAAAACAACGTTACGGACGGACGGGCCGCGGTAGACAGAGAGGGAGAGAAAAAAAATACTTAAAACTCGTCCGAACTACTACACAATATATTATATATATATATAAAACGCAGTGTGGCCAACTACGGCGGTGTGTAGTCGGCCGCCGCGCCGCCGCCACCGCCGTCGACGTCGTATGATGTCCCGACCGTAAAAACGTGTTTTTTTCCTTCCTCTCTTCCTTCCAATGTATTTTTTTTCTCTATTTCATTTATTTTTTACTATGAAACTCACGCCATTCATTATCGGCGTATACTTTGAACGGGATAACATCGGACCATTTCGGGCACGTCGTACAAACCGTGGCCCGATTGCAAACGGCGGCGCGGGGGTTGGATCAGCACAGATGCAATAATATGTAATATAGGTACCTATAATTATGGTATATTATTCTCGTAATAATATTATTATAATAATATGCACTTGTGTATTATAGTGTGTATACATAATAATAATAATAATATGCGTGTACGACGTGTATACATATTATATAATATTTGTATATTTAATAACTTCATGGTGTATGTACAATGTTTCCATAATAATTATTGTCGTTTATTTTTATTTGAGGGGAGAGGGGGTTCTTAAAAGTTCGAAAATCAGGTGAGATAAGTTATTGTTTTTGTTCGATCGTCGGATATAGGAACAACGCAATAAAACATAATAATATAGTAGGGTACTAATTTATTATAATACGATATCGTGTGTCGGTGAACGCCACGGCGAGGCAACGGTTTTCGCGTGCAGTATGTATTTGCAGAGCAAAACATTGCAGTTAAGTACTAGAGTTATACAATCGTCTATAAAACGGTGTTCCTCCACCGTGACATTTCTTTGACCTTCCACGCGCGCATTTGTTATTTATTTTTTTACGACACTGGTTTCTCGCAAAACGTCGGTGACAACGCTTTCCCTCTGAACATTTCTCTCGGAGAGTCCTATTCCAGGCGATAAAATAAACGGACGCGAATTTACGCATATAAATAATAAATGGCTAATAAATGTATAGCCGTATAGGCCAATAGACCATAATTGTAAATGTTTGTCGATAAATATAAGCGAATCGCCTCCGCCAGTCACGTCCTATACGAACATAATATTGTAAAATCCGAAGAGTGCGTCAGCGATAGACGCTGCAGGGCGCCGCGTCGGGCCGCATATGCAGGGACGGGTTATATTTAGAACAGCGAATGATACGATTTTTTTAACGGTAAATATTACACTATATTTCTTAAAAATAGTCTCAAAGCTGAATTTACCTGAGCGCTCCCTCCTCCCAAACAAAATAATAATAAATAAATAAAAACTCCATTAATCAGGTCGAAAGGCGCACAAAGCAGGACGATTTAATGTATAATAATATAATATTATTGTATGGGTCTACAGAATGCGATATTCTCCACGGACACAGTATATAATGGACACATATTATAAGAGTACGAAAATACGAAATAACCTACCTATAATATTGTATACCGGTGTACAGGACAAGGGCAAACGAGTAACGACAACGTTTGATATACATTATATATATAATATATAGTGATCTGGTGGGGATGGTGGTGGTGGCGGTGGTGTTTGTGCGCAGAGTATAATATATATTTTGTATATTTTGCAGGTCAGGATTTTCAAACTACCTGCAGGCTGCAGCAGAACGAGGCAAAAGACCTTGCGCCCGGATTACATCAACAGCAATATCAAAAATCAGACATCCCGTCAAACTTAGCGTTTTTTATATTTTCTACCATATAATAATACTATAGTATGCTATAGGTACTATTATAATAAATAATAATATAATATGTGTTGTTGTTGTTACACACTACAGAGGAAGTGGATTACATGTAGATAAATTCTCATTTTATCGTCGAAAATCACGATAAATGGGTCGTGTTGAGTACAAATATTTATAGCACTTCAGCACATGGACATGACCTCATTTGAAAAAGTATGAAAATAAATTCAAAACGAAGGCGGTAAAGTGTTGTTACTCAATTAGGTAATTAATAAATATTACATTGCACCTAATAAGCCAATAATATACGTACATATACAGAGTTGTATATTATTTAGAGGAAAACAAATATTGAAATTGAACAGGAATGCCAAATGTTTCCGGTAGACAATTGTACACGTTTACGAGTAGGTTTACAAAACACAAAAATAATGCTAATTTCATACAAAATTCAACGTACTAAATTATTATGCCAATTAATCGCCAAACATAAGAATTAAAATAAGTACCTACATTGTAAAATATACATAATATATTAACTAAGTCTATAACGATATATATGTGTCTATAGAAAATATTATTGAAAAGGACAAATTAATTAAACTAAACACAATCACAAACAACATAAAAAATGTACATAACATATTTAGAGCATATTATATTAGACATTTTTGGAAATACGGAAATTACCAACTAAGATTCTAATGACTTATCATTACGGCAACATTCGACCTATTGAAAAAAAACGTAATGTTGTGTAGTATATATTTATGAAGGTGCTAGTGTGCTATACGCGTGCGCATACGCACACAAACACACAGATGTACATATTATTTTGTAGTAAAGATGGGATGACACACGATTCAAGTATTTTAATGAATATTCGTCATGTGTATGAATATATGTGTGCATATCATACATATAGATATTCGTTATATACAAATAATATTATGTTCTGTTCTTGAGTCGTGCACAAACGTCAAATAAACATGTACATTATATATAAACGAGAATAGCCACTTTAAATGTATCACTTTATTCTTAAAACATCGATACACGTTACATATTATAATATGCAGGGTTATTATTGTTAGTGTAGACGCCACCACCAGTCGGTATTATTTATTTATAAGCATTTAGATTTTCATGGAAAATTATAAATTAAAAAAACACTAGATTCGTTATAAATTCATATAAGTCACAATCAAATCACAAGGGAAAAAATATGAATGAAGTTTAGTTATACTATAGTTAAACTATAGT